TCACAAGATCAAGCTATACAATTGTGTTAATAATTGCATCTGAATAATATTTTAATGTAGATGATAAGATCCTGGATGAAAAAAGAAATCATCTAAAAGGACTATAATATGGAGGCATGCGCATGTCCGAAAGATTGGCTTGATGGAGAAAAAAAGTTGCAAAATAAAAGCAGCAATGACGACTTGGACTCAGACTTGCATTTTCACAATTAACAAGCTCAAGTTATAAATTGGGATTTGCATTTTCCTCTTTATATAAATTTTTTTGGGTAAAATTCTAGAGTTTGATATTTGATGTGATTTTCATAATTTCTTCATGAAAAATGGGTTCAACAATAAAAATTGAGGCATTTTAGCTTCAAAAAATTTCATGTAGTTTGTAAAAGAAAGAAATCATTTTGCTTCCTTTTTCTTCATCGTTTGAAAACAAGACTGAATGAGTAATAAAAAAATTGAGTTTATCTTATAAGAAAATAAATGCAAGGTCTTTGATACCACCACAGAATCATTTTTCAGCTATCAACAAATAAAAAACTAGTATATCTATCTAAAAGGCATGGATAAACACAGGCAACAGGTATACCTGCCACAATACTTGAAGTTAAGCAGGCTTCAGGAATGCCAATCATAATTTATGAATTTAAGGCTCCATAACAATCTTTCCAGTAGCCTGACTGTCAATACTCTTTACCAGGCATCTTCAGCTATGCACGTCGATACTCAACACATGCATCTTCTTAGCGTTGCTTGAATCTATCACAGTCTTAAAAGCTTCCTCTGCACCAGTTTAACAAAATACAGGTTTTCATGTTTGGGAATCATGAGAAGGAGCAGAAGTCGATTTTTGGAGAAGGTAGCTTATTTCATAGCAAAAGTAAGGATGACCCTTGTCCCAGGATTAATATCTATTGACTTCCCAGTATTAGTCAAACAGGCGAAAAAGAATGGCAAGCACAACATACGAATTTAAGGCTCCACAATGATATTTCCAGTAGCCCGACTGTGAATACTCTTTGCCTAGGCATCTTCAACCATGCCCGCTGATACTCTTTGCCCAGGCATCTTCAGCCTTGCTCGATTCTATCAGTCTTAAAGATTTCCCCTCCTCCAATTCAACAAGATACAGGTTCTCATTTTTAGGAATCATGAGAAGGAGCATAAGATGATTTTTACAGAAGGTAGTTTCTTTAATAGCAAAAGTAAGGATGGCGCATAGCGGGTATATCTAATACCTTCCCATTATCACTCAAATTAGGCCCAAAGGTAGACCAGGGAAATCTGGTTTGCATCATATTTCTGACCAGATGGACTTCTCAGAGCTGCCCCTTCTGGAGTACTATAGTCCAAAACCTCTTCAGCTCCCAAGCCCTTTACCAATTTAACGTTGCAAGACCTGCAAGTGGCTGTCACTGTGTGTTTTCACTATTCGCCAGGTGTACAGCACAGTGATGTTATCCTTCTAAGCTTCAGTAACAAGAATGTTTAACTACTTGCCACTTCCATCAAGCTTGATGCCAGTAGATATGGTGAGAGCTTGCTGACTGTCAGACCAGCTATAGGTAAACTGGCACCATCACCTGCTGAACTTCTGAGGTCCTCACTACTGTCAAACTTTCTAGCCACTGCAAATTCAGCAAGCACACCTCCAGTCTGTGATGCAGAAAGGAAAGATGTTAAAGAGATAAATTGTGATATTTATGTATTACAAGGATATTTAACTTACATTAATTATAGGCTTATCATTAGTATGAATTTATTATTTCCTATTTAGTTATTCTTCATTATAGCCTATTCAATAATTAGCTATTTCCTATTTGATAGAAGTTCTACATAGATTTCTTTTTTTGATTGTGTTGTGGTGACTTTAAATAGGGTATGCTAGTTTAGTTATTAGGTAGACTTGAGATTTGAGATATCGAATTGTAGTTCTTAATTAAATTCTCTAAGTGCTGTGTTTAAGCTTTCTTTATCTTACATCATTCTATCATCCGTCAACACAAGTATAGAGGTGAAATTCAGGAATAACCATAATTTGCATGCATCCGTCAACACAAGTATAGAGGTGAACTTCAGGAATAACCATAATTTGCATGCATCAGATTTGCAACATTGAGATATTTAAATACAAAATTAAAATCTTGACATCCCAATACATATCATAGACATGTATAACCATAAAAGCAGGGAAGGATAGAGACTGGAATGCGTATTAATTGGCTTTTTCAATTTGAAGAAAAAATTTTCCCCAGGAATTGATCATTCTAATCCTCCTTGACAGAAGTATTTGAAGAAACAAAAACCATCCATCTGAATCACTTTTCCCCACGAATGCTACGGAAATAGAATGCATCATAACCTATTTGGTCACTTAACAGATGGACCAAAAATGGGCTAAACAACAAAGCTATATTAGATAGATATTCGAGAATCTCTTTTAGGGACTTTGAGGACATCAAATAAGCAGTTACTTAAGAATTAACACCAAGATGCAAATTTGGATAATTTCTGGGCATAACTCATTTGGACAAAAGTGAAGATAAGGATGCCAAAATGTTTAACCAACAAATCACAGGACAATTTAAATTACCAGGTATTAAAGGAAAACTACAAGGAAGAAGACACTGCGACATTCCTTGCTTTGTTTCCCAATCAACAGGATTCAGGCTAGTTGCTTCCAATTTTAGTAAAATCTCATCTTTGTTTGGTCTGAGAACTCTGGAACTTTAACGTGCTGCAGCACACAAAATTTATATTACAAAAAGCCAAATGGAACACTACCTAAATACATTGAAGTAACAATTAATGAAATACACAGAGAGTTTTATATAGGCAAATTCTGACATATGGGTTTGACCTATGTGTAAGAACCAAGTGGACTAGAAGACAATACTTGACATGTAAGTGGCCTTACTGGTATTCTACTACTTCAAGTCACCCACCTTCATCCCGTCACCACCAAGGTGCACAACAATCCCTACCCGACCACCATCATCAGGCTACGTTGCTCGGAGTCTTCAATCTCAATATCGAACCCATTTTGGACATGAAACTTGTATCAGACACAAACCATTACTTACAGGATTCCCAGATATGTGACTCCACAAACTTACATTATTGCAGCATGATACTATTTCATATTCTTCTCTAGCAAATGTCAATGGAGAAGAAGATCAAGTTTGAACTAAATAACTGGTCTTCCCCCGTGATGCCCTCGTTCAACAAGATTTTGAAGCTCAAAATATTTGCTAGATAATTCATCTCCCTTTAGTAAGAATTCAATATATGGTAAGGTTGCAGCTTCTTCTTCTATCCCACTTGACCTCAGGAGGTCAGAAACCACCCTTTGCACTTCTTCACTCTTGCCATCATTATAAAGGCCTTGAATCACTAAACAGTAGGATTCAAAGGATGGAAGAAAGCCACTACTGACAAGTGAAGCTATGAACTTGATGCATTCATCATATTTCCGCTCCGTGCAATACCACTCAATGAGAGAGTAAATGGCCTTGTCAGGAAACACGCCACATCTGACAATATGCTGGGTAAGATAATGAGCTTCAGAAAACCTCCCCTCCCTACATAAGCCCACAACTAAAAAATTGTACAAGTCAACAGTAGAACCCCCAAACTTCTCAATTTTATTTTGAAGACTGAGAGCATGCTCAACATTCATTTCTCTGAAGAGATTATTAGCACACTCATCAAGATCTTCTTCCGAAGAATCTGATGCAGTGGTGATACTGTAAGTTTCTGCTTCAGCAGTCTTCTCTGACAAAACAAACCCGGCTAATAGAGCAGAGTAGGTACGGTTATTGGGTTGACATCCATTTCTAACCATGGAACTTGTGATTTCAAGGGCACGGTTTATTCTACCAGCATTCACATGTGCGTTCACCAATACAGTATATGTAACTTGATTTGGAGATACTCCTAAACCAGACATACGAAAAAGAAGTGCTTCTGCTTCCTCAACTCTTCCAAGTTGGCAAAGACCATTGATGACAACCGTGTATGTATAGACATTTGGGGGACAGTTGTTTCGTTTCATCATTTCTATCAGGTTAAAGGAACGAGTGACATCACCAGTTCGAATAAGCCCATCAATTAATATTGTGTAAGTCACCACAGAAGGAACTAAACCATACTTGAGGATCTTCCCAATCAAAGCATACTCCTCTTTCAACTTACATAATTTGCTGAGAACATCTAGAAATATATTTAGTGCATGAGAAGTCTTCATATGGATGGTTGTAACCAAAACAGCAAAAATCGCCAAAGCATCTCTTGTTTTGCCTGCTTTGCAGTAGCCATTAATAAGGGCAGTGAATGTTATTTCATCATGTGAGATTCCCCTCTTTACCATCAAACCCAGAAAAGCAGAAGCTAGTTCAAGCTTCTTTTGCCTACAAAGCCCATCAATTATTGTGGTGAAACTATAACAATCAGGATCAAGACAAAACGTGTTCATCAAGTTGAATACTTTGTAAGCCATATCAAGTTTGCCTTCTCTGCAGAATCCATCAATAAGAATGTTATAGGTTACAGTGGTAGGCAACAATCCACTATCAATTACCCTCTGCAAGAGGAACACTGCTTTGTATGGTTTATTAACTCTACATAACCCATCCATGAGCTCATTGTAGGTTCTTATATCAGGCTTGCAATTCCTCTTTTCCATCACGCTAAGAAGTTCGAAAGCAGAAATTATCTGCCCTTGTTTGCAATATCCATTTATCAGTGCATTGTAAGTTACCAAGCTAGGAAATAGGCCATCTTTCACTATCCTTCTGACCATCCCATTAGCCTCGGCAACCTTTCCTCCTCTGCACAATTTGTCAATCAAAACCGTGTAAGTATGAATATTCGGCTTGCATTCCCCTGCAACCATTTCATCGAGCAAGCATAAAGCCTTATCTATCCACCCGTTATCACACAGAGCTTTAATAAGCACCGTGTATGTGCGAGTACTCTGCTGGCATCCCCTCTCACTCATTTTCTCTTTCAAGTCAAAGGCTTCATCAAGCCTCCCCATTTCACATAAGCCATGTATAAGTATCGTCCACGTAACAGAATTAGGAAGACAACCATCTTCTTTAGACATTTTCTCAAACACCAGGAAGGCACGTTTAAGGTCACATACCCTGCAATAACCTAACACCAGAGAGGTGAAAATATGAGTATCTAACCTAAACCCAAGCTTCAAAACTCTACACAAAAACATCTCAGCAGCTTCTACAAGTCCGTTCTTGCATAAAGCATTGATTATGGTTTTGTAGTCTATATTCCCAATAACAAATCCTTTAGCTACCATTCTTTCATAAACCGAGTAGGCTAAAAAGCCCATATTCAATTTAGCTAAGGACATCAAAAGAGTGCTGTAACATGGGTAATTTAGCCTAAACCCGCTCTCGCTCAAGCAATCAATCGCATCCATTAGCTTCAGAATCTCTATCTCGCTTTTTGCACTGTCTTTAATCAGTGAAAATATAGCCCCATGTGCAACCCCATATAAATTGGAAGACACAATCAAGTTTACTAGATGGATTCTGTGCTCTATATCGTAGCAGTAGGTTGATTGTTTACACACCCACTTGAAAAAACGAACACCGAGCTGAGGGTTAATATTATGAAGCGATATAACGTTTGAAGCAACATGCGGGGTCATGTGAGATACTACTGATTTGAGGAGGTTGTCCTGTTCCCAGTTGGGTTTTCTAAGCAAAGCCGATACATTGAAGGCCGAGTGTTCTATGGTTTTTGGATCGGTCTGCTTGTAAGAAGAGAAAAGAGAGAGAGATATGAACAGGGAAGGAGAGCAAAACGCATGAGCTCCAGAAAAGACTTTGACAACTTTGGTTCCGTGAATCAACATACAGAGAGCGAGAGAGAGAGAGCGCGTGGAAGATACTAGAAACAAAAAGCCATAAAAATGAAGGAAAGAGAGTAGAAAATGGAAAAAGATGATGGAGGCAACAGCTCTATTTACAAAAAAAAATATTGGCGGGCTATCCTTCTTCGAAGAATCATTAATCATATGGGTAAAAGACAGAAAATGAATCAAATATAGGAGAAAAGGTCTGTCATTGGGCTGAAGGTTGAAGCTGCACAAGACACTCCTGATGGGCCATAACACGGAGTATTTAGGCGGCCCACATGAAGAATTCATCGTTGGCGGCTAAAATCGGTCAAGCTGACAAAGGACAAAACACCGGGTAAGTTCCGCTGCTCCGCGCCTTTTCTTGAATATTCAGAGGAGTTAAACAGGAGATGGAGTTTAGCAAAATTTATTTTCAAACCCAAGCTCCTACGTTCCATAGTAGAAGAAAAAGATCTGCTTTCCTCTTCGAAAAGTCATTGAACTGGATTTGCATCCGCTTCTCTCAAAACTACTGTACTTTCATCAACATCAGTGGAAATGGCAGGGAAATTCATGCGTGCGGTACAGTACGATAGCTATGGTGGAGGAGCCGCTGGTTTAAAGGTAAAACTACTTCTTCTTCTTACCTCTTGTTCTTTAATGTTTTCTTTTTTCCTGAAGAAAATTTCCTTTTGGACTGTTCTCTCTGGTTCGTTAATTTCATATCCTAAAGGTTTCCTGTCTTGCTTTTTTCTTTTTTAATGTTTTACTTGTAAAATACTGCTAGGAGGAGGTTGAACATTACGTTATTTGTGATGAGGCGAATCAGGTGATTGAACAAAGGGGACTTTGATTTGAACTTAGTAGCTACGAAGATAAGATTTTGAAGATGATCAATTTTCATTTAGAAAAGGATATTCATCCCTCATAGTTAAAACTAAGAGTGGATTTTGAAAGGATTTTGTTAAATGAAGTTTATTTGTTTCGAATATAGCCTTAGATAGTTTAATGAAGGTTATAAATATAGCCTTCGGCACAAAAAATAGCAGTTTCATTTTTGTGGAGATTTGGAAAAAGAAAAAACTGATACTAACTACAAATACATACCATTAACTATTACTTGTATGAAAGTTCAAGGTTTAGGTCTTCAAAAGGTCCTGTCTCTGTGATGTATTTTAAGTTCTAGCATAAGATTTATCATCCCTCGTCATCAGCTTCACATTGTCATATTTAATTCTGGATGATGTATTTCAAGTTCTAGCATAAGATTCCTCATCAGTCATCATCAGCTTCATATTATCATATTTAATTTTGGATGATGTATTCCAAGTTCTAGCATAAGATTCATGATCAATCATCATCAGCTTAACATTATCATATTTAATTCTGGATTGTCACATGTATTACATGCACATGAGTAACTGACACAGATCTTGCACCCATGCAAATCTCGTGTCTACCACCAATGCAACATCAAAATTGAGCAGTTCAAGCAACGTACCCTAATGGTGGTAGTTGGTTAGGAATTTTTATGCACATTAATGATGATAAAGATTATGTTTATTTAAAAAAAAAGGATAGGATGAAGATGAGCTACTCACATTGGTGGCTTACTAGAAAGGCTGCTGGCATGTCAGTTGAGTCCATAGTCCACTTCCTGCTCACAGATAGGTCAAACCCATGTGTTTGAATTTGCATATATGAAAAATCTATCATTAAATATCGTGCTATTATTTTAGTTGGTACGGAATTTGGTATTTTTGTAGTAATAAATTTAATGTCTGCTGCAGCATGTTGAAGTTCCAGTTCCAGTTCCAAAAAAAGATGAGGTTTTGATAAAACTAGAAGCAACTAGCCTGAATCCTTATGATTGGAAAATGCAGAAAGGAGTGATGCGGCCTCTTCTTCCTTGTAAATTTCCTTTCATACCTGGTAATATAACTTTTCCACTGATTTGCTGATCAAATACTTTTGAGAGACTATCTTCACTTCACATGTCTGTTCATAAGTAAGTCTCATCAAAATGTCCAAATGAATTATGCCTAGAAACTTTACAGATTTGTGTCCACGTCTTGACTCATAAGTAATCACTTATTTGATCTCCTTTTATTGCCCATCTATTAAGTGACCAAATAGGTCATGCATGTTGTTTGCATGATAGTCCTGGGGAAAAGTGATTCAGATGGATAGTTTCTATTGCTTCAAAATACTTTTGTTAAGGAGGATAAGAATGAATATCCCTCGTCACATTTTGAAAAGCCTTATCCATGGACTTGTGGAGAAAAAGATTTTGGAAAATGTCATGCATGGAATGTCAATCTAAAATCCTATATCTTAGAAATTTTATGAGTGGTTTTATCATTGGAGTTACCTGCACCAAAACATTGTCTCCCATGCTCAGGCATGGTTGTTTCTTTTTCTTTCTAGCTTGGCTTGAATATTGGGCAAATTCTGGGTAGCAAATGGGCTTCTTTTATGCTTTTCTTATTTTCCCTTTTTTCAAATTTTTATTGCTATATTGTGTTTGATTTTGGGATAATGATTTTTTGTTGGAGTAGCCAACGATGTGGCAGGAGAAGTCATGGAGGTTGGATCTGCAGTAAAAAATTTTAAAGTTGGTGACAAAGTTGTGGCTCTGCTAAGCTCTTTGGTAAGTGATTACTGTTATTCATTTTAATTAGTTCTCTTTAAGGAGCTTTGAATTTAGATTATTCACAACTGCAGAATTTTTCCCTTAAATATGGAGAATTTTCTGATACTCAGCAATGATTTTTCTTAGATTAGGAAAGAAAAACAAAACAAATGCTAGCTGCTGCTTTAGAAATCATGGTACACTAGGGCTTCACCAAGTACCTAGAAAAGCAAAAACATGCTTTCAAGTGATGGCTAAGCGTCCTGAAGGATTGCTGCACTTCTCCTGAAGTTCGAGCTGTCCACTTACGATTAATCTTGTCATTTCTCAGAGTTTTGCATAAAGCAGAAGGTCTAGCTTCATGGTGTTATGACTCATTTCTTAAATCTCTGAGTAGTCTTCCTAGAACATATAATTGCAGAGTAGTTTGATGCAAAATAGCTTATTGATTTTCTTCATACAGCTCTTGTTTCAATAATTTACCATCTTTGGAAGAAAGGGGGAAAGAATAATAAAACAAGCTTATGTTATATCCATGCATGTCTATGATGTTCTTGAGATGTCAAAGTTTCTGAGATTCAAGATCTAAATACTGCAAACCCAAAGCATAAAAATCATGGTTATTGTAAATTGATCCTCTCTATATTTGTGTTATGCAATGACAGAGTGGAGGTGGCCTTGCCGAATTTGCTGTTGCTAAGGAAAAATTAACTGTGGCAAGGCCCCCAGAAGTTTCAGCAGCTGATGGTGCAAGTTTACCGGTTGCTGGTCTTACTGCTCACCAAGCTCTCACAAAATCTGCTGGCATCAAGCTTGATGGAAGTGGCAAGCAGGTAAACATTCTGGTCACTGCAGCTTCAGGAGGAGTAGGTCATTACACTGTTCAGCTGGCAAAGCTCGGAAACACACATGTGACAGCCACCTGTGGGTCTCGCAACATTGAATTTGTAAAGAGCTTGGGAGCTGATGAGGTTTTGGACTATAAAACCCCAGAAGGGGCAGCTTTAAAGAGTCCATCTGGTCGGAAATATGATGTGGTTATACACTGTGCAAACAGCATTCCCTGGTCTACCTTTGAGCCTAATTTGAGTGATAACGGGAAGTTAGTAGATTTAACTCCTGGGCCAAGAGCCATGCTTACTTTTGTTCGAAACAAAGTTACCTTCTCCAGAAAGCAACTTGTGCCTCTTCTCATGAGTCCCAAAAAAGAGAACCTAGAGTATCTACTTAACTTGGTGAAGGAGGGGAAGATTAAGACTGTGATCGACTCAAAGCATCATCTGAGTAAGGCTGAAGATGCCTGGGCGAAGAGTGTCGATGGTCATGCTACTGGAAAGATCATTGTGGAGATGTAAGTTCATGTATGTTGTGATTGTGATTATGATTGCTAAAGCTGGCTTGACTTCTGAAGGCTGCTTGTGTTATTGTGTAAAAAATGATACCATGTAGAATAAGTTAAATGCCGTGCTTTTAAGATATGTTGATAGTTGAATCGTATACTAAGAAGACATACTTCTCCATTTATATTCTTGTAAGATATGTGGATTTATAAGATTTGTGTTATGTTATTAAATTTGTAAACAAAATATGTTCAGGAGTTGAGTGCCCTCAATCCTTAATTAGAGTAACTATCAAACTGATTTTTTTTAATTTCTAGATAATTTTATATAAAGCCATAGTTTAATTGAATTAAAACAGTCATGGCTACTGAATTGGATTATAAAATTTAAAATTTAAATCTTAAAATTTACAATATTAAATAAGCTTATAACTTAAATTATCTTTTTATAAGTTGATGTTTTTTTAAGAAGATGGTCCTACCAATATTAAAGAATTAATTACCATGCCAGATATGATATCTTTAGGAGCTTCATTCCATTACATTTATTATATAAAAGATAAAAAGTAGTAAGCCCAACTCATGGCAGTTGCTGATGGACCAGCTCTATATTCTTGAAAGCTGTAGAATTTAGGTGGGTCTTGATGGATGCTTGTTACTGTCATTTTCCATCTCACATTCTTACCCAAGTCCAAACTTTGTTGATTCCATTGTTGGACGCAGTTGAAATTCGTACATGACTTTCATTGTGGGTATTTGTGTCAATTCAGCCTTCAATCCGCCATTGTATGGTTGCCGATTGCTTACTATTTATTTCCCTCCCGAACAGGAACTCCTCTTCGCATCCGCTTCTCTCGAAAGGACGGCGCTTTCATCAACATCAGTGGAAATGGCAGGGAAACTCATGCGTGCGGTTCAGTACGATAGCTATGGTGGAGGACCCGCTGGTTTAAAGGTAAAAACTAGTGCGTTCTCCTTACCTCATGTTCTTTCATTATTTTCTTTTTTCCGGAAGAAAATTTCCCCTAAAACTGTTTTCTATGTTCGTTAATTTCATATTTTAAAGGATTCCTATCTTGCTGCTTTTTTTTGGCTGGTAAAAATAGTGCTAGGAGGAGCTTAAACATTACGTTATTTCTGATTAGGCGAATCAGGCAAATAAACAAAGGGAATTGTGATTTGAATTTAAGCTGTAAAGATAGGGTTTTGAAGATGATCAATTTTCATTTAGAAAGGATATTCATCCCTCATAGTTAAAACCAAGTATGGATTTTGAAATAAATTTGTCGAATGTAGTTATGTTTCTCTCCAACATAGCCTTAGGCAGTTAAATGAAGGCTACAAGAAATGATCATTATTAATATGTGTAATATTAGGACAATTTCTTGTCATGGATTAGTTGCTTGCATGTGAAAGTATAAAAATCTATACGTGAGACACCAGAAAAACTATAGGTTGTATGAGGCAAACAGTCTGAAAGTAGCCTAATATGTTAAGAGCTTTGTCTCTATGCTGAAGCTGGAGCAGGTGGCTCATGTTATAGCTATATGATATCCATCAAATGTTATTTCACTAGACAAAGCTAGTAACTAAGGAAGTTGAAGGAGACTGAGATGGCAGTTCTAACTGAGTAGATGATAGTGCAAATTCCCAGAAAGCATAGTTAAGTCAGATTCAGAGAGTTAGGGAAGTGACAATCTTTACTATTATTGTCATATTGACATATATATTTAGGATAATTTGATGGTGGACCTCTTTGGGTAGCAGACGGGTCGCAGTCAGTTAGAAAGGAGTATGGTGCCCCTGATAAGTGGGAATGTCAATTTCATGTTGCTCAAACTTTAGGTGTATTTGTTAATGTCCATGGGGAAGCTAAGGATGATTACATGCATGAAAAGATATAGCCTTTGGAACAAAATATAGCAGTTTCATATTTGTGTTGAAATTGAAAAAAGGAAAAATTGATACTCACTAATAATAATACTATTTCTCTTTTATTGCAAAAAAAAAAAAGGATACTCACTAATAATACATAATGTGACAATTACTTGTACACAAGTTCAAATTTTGGATATTCAGAAGCTTCTATCCTTGTGTTGTATTTCAAGTTCTAGCATAAGCTTTGTCATCAATTATCACGAGCTTCATATTATCATATTTAATTCTGGATTATCACATGTCTTACATGCACATCAAGTGACTGATGCAGTTGCATCTTGCAAGTTGCATGTCCTGCACAGGTGTATTCGAAATTGAAGAGTTCGAGCAACATATCATCATGGTAGTAGTAGGTTAGGAATTCTTGTGCCCATTCCATTGCAATGGTGTTGTGCTGGTAAGGCGGCTGATGTGTCAGTTGAGGTGTTTCCTACTCCACTTGATGCTCGCACGTAGGCTAAATCCATGTGTCTGAATTTGCATATATAAGATATCTTTCAATAAATCTCTTGCATTGTTAATTTAATATATTTAAGTTGGTATGGCATTTGGTATTTTTTTAGTATAAATTTTATGTCTGCTGCAGCATGTTGAAGTTCCAGTTCCCACGCCAAATAAAGAGGAGGTTTTGCTAAAGCTGGAAGCCACTAGTCTGAATCCTGTTGATTGGAAAACACAGAAAGGAATGTTACGGCCTCTTCTTCCTCGTAGATTTCCTTTTATACCTGGTAATTTAACTTTTCCATTATTTTTTGTCAAATGCCTTTGAGGGACTATCTTCATTTCATGGATGTTTGTTCATCAGAAAATCTCATCAAAATATCCAAACGAAATATGCCTGGAAAAGATTGCATCCACGTGTTGATTCATTGGTAATCACTTGTTTGATGTACTCAGAAGTGCCCAATGACTATCTTGGAATATACATCTGATATAGTTTGTTGCTTTTCCTTTTTCTGTCCATCTGTTAAGTGACCAAATAGGTCATGCATTCTGCTCACATAATAGTAGTGGGAAAGGTGATTCAGATGGATAGCTACTGTCGCTTCAAATACTTCTGTCAAGAAGGATTAGAATGATTAATTCCTCATCAGATTTTGAAAAACCTTGTCAGTGTACCCGTGGAAAACAGATTTTGGCTAATGTTATGGATGGAAATGTCAGTAAAAGTCTGTACCTTAAAACTTTTTATGTGTTTGGTTTTGTCATTAGAGTTTCCTGCATCAAACCATTGTTTCCCGTGCTCAGATGTGATTGTTGTTTAATTCTTCTTTAGCTTGAATATGGTACAAATGTTGGATCGCAATATGGGGTCCTCTTGTGCTTTTTCTTGCCCTATTTTCAAAATGTTATTCCTATATTGTCCGAGTATGGGCTAAAGCTTTTTTGTTGGAGCAGCTACCGATGTGGCAGGAGAAGTTGTCGAGGTAGGACCAGCAGTAAAAGATTTTAAAGTTGGTGACAAAGTTGTGGCTCTGCTAAGCCATTTGGTAAGTGATTATTGTCATTCATTTGAATTAGTTCTCCTCTTCAAGGAGCTTGCATTTTAGACTACTCACAAGTGCAGAATCTTGCACTTAAATCTTGAGAATTTTTTATGAAAACAACATTTTAATAGTCTGCACTTGACTTTGCTAAAATTAGGAAAAAAATAAAACAAAAATAAAACAAAAGCTGGCTGGTGTTTTAGAGATTTGGTAACAAACTTCACGAAGCACGTAGAATAGCATAAACATGCTTCGAAGTGATGGCTATGAAGACTTGCTGCTTATTTCCCAAATGGACCCAGGCAGAAGTTTGAGCTGTCCAGCCATGATTTATTCTTGTTTTTCCCAGGATTTGAGTACAGCAGAAGGTTTGCCTTCTTGGTGTTATGCTTTCTAGGCTGTTTGGGTCAAGCGCAATAGAATCAGTTTCTCTTAAATTTCTCAGCATTTTCCAAGAAGCGAATGTGTTCCTTAACTCCCCCCCCACCCCCCTCTCCAAGCTCTACTTTTATGTGCATATGCATGTCTATGATGTGTTTTGAGATGTCAAAATTTTGAATTTTAATTTCAACATCTAAACATCGCAAGTCCAGAGCTTACAAATCATTGTTGTTGGTAGTTCATCCTCTATATTTGTGTCATGTGATGACAGACTGGAGGTGGCCTTGCCGAATTTGCTGCTGCTAAGAAAAGCTTAACCGTAGCAAGACCCCCAGAAGTTTCAGCAGCTGATGGTGCAAGTTTACCGGTTGCTGGTCTTACCGCTCATCAAGTTCTCACAAAATCTGCTGGCGTCAACCTTGATGGAAGTGGCAAGCAGGTAAACCTTCTGATAACTGCTGCTTCAGGAGGAGTGGGTCACTACGCTGTTCAGCTGGCAAAGCTTGGAAACACACACGTGACAGCCACTTGTGGGTCTCGCAACATTGAATTGGTAAAGAGCTTGGGAGCTGATGAGGTTTTGGACTATAAAACTCCGGAAGGGGCAGCTTTAAAGAGCCCATCTGGTCGGAAATATGATGCGGTTATCCACTGTGCAACTGGCATTCCATGGTCTACCTTTGAGCCTAATTTGAGTGATAACGGCAAGGTAATAGATATTACTCCTGGGCCAAGTGCCATGCTTACTTTTGCTCTGAAGAAAGTTACCTTCTCCAAAAAGCAACTTGTGCCCCTTCTCATGATTCCGAAAAAAGAGAACCTAGAGTATCTAGTTAACTTGGTGAAGGAGGGGAAGCTTAAGACTGTCATTGACTCAAAGCATCACCTGAGCAAGGCTGAAGATGCCTGGGCGAAGAGTATCGATGGTCATGCTACCGGAAAGATTATCGTGGAGCCTTAGATTCACATATATTGTGATTGTGATTACCATTCCTGAGGCCAGTTAAACTTCTGAGGGCTGTCCGTGTCTCGTGTAAAACAAGATACCATGTAGAATAAAGGTAAGCTTTGTGTTTTTTAGATATATTCATAGTTGAATTATATGCTAAATAGACATAGACATAGTTCTTCCTTTTTTTTTTCTTGTAAGATATGCGAGTATATGCTACTTACATGTCTTGTTATCATATTTGTAAGTGAATGATGTTTTACTAGTTCAGAGCTCAAGCCTCAGCACCAAAAGTGAATTTCTTTTTAATTCCCAGATAATTTTAGTGAAATTGTTTTCCAAGTCAGAATCTTAAAAACTGTTTACATACATTTCAAATCCCGAATTAATGAAAAATCTATAATACGAAATTCTGTATAACTTTTCCAAAATGAATTTTATAATTTATACAAGAGGTTCTATAATTAATACGTTAGTTAGTTTATGAATAGAAATTATAATTTTTAGTGGAACGAAATTTGCAGTGCTTTTTCTTGACAAGATGCATTTGAAAATATATCAGGCATCAAATTTTGAATATAAGACTATAATGAGAATTTTTGAATGACCAAGAAAAATTCCATTATATTAATTTATCATAAATTGTACAGTTAGTTTTATTTTAATTAATATTAAATCAATATTTAAATGTTATTTGCTTAAAAGTGTCAATTTTATAAGCAGTTTTCTTTTACTAATATTCTGAAAATAAACACAATTTGTTTTGGAAGCAAATATTTTTCTTAATCATCTATTATACTAGTGTAAATTTCATAAGATATTTTACCTATTTTTTTGGCTATATAATACATATTTTCAAATGATTACAATTACAAAGTACGCCACTTTCTTTCTTAATTGCTAATTAATCAACTATACAAAACATTATGTACAGCAAAACTTGCCCAGTGCCAAAACTGTTGGTTTAATACAGGATTTTTCAATTACAAACAAGGGAAGAAAAAAAAAAAAGATGAACTCAAGAGTTCTAGGCATTCTCTGTCACGTACCCAATAGCATCCCTGTAATTGTTCCACAAATCTTTGACCACAGTCATCGCCATCTCCTTTAACCCATCTCCAATCTCTGGAAAATCTGTAAACAACCCATCAAACGCACCTTTTGTTTGCTCCACCAGTCCTCCAATTGCTGATCCTGTAAAAGAAGCAGACCCCAGAGCAGCCTCTTTAACCTGCTCAAACACACTAGACATCACAGACCATATTATTTCCATGGCAAGCTCAAATATAAACTGAAAACAACCTCTGATGAATCCGGCAAATTGCTCCAGTACGCTCTGAACGGCCACTCCCGGAACTCTAAATGCCTGGATTACCAACACCACGATGCAGGCCCCGACGGTGAAGACTAAGCGAGTAATCACAAAGGATATCACGCTAATCACGAAGAAAATTATGTTTAGTAGGAGGACGATCATGTTCGTTTGATAAAATTATGAAGAGCACGGAAGAAAACTTGACAGGGAAGGCAAATAAGTTGCAGGTTTTAAAATTAATGTGGTCGAAACTTCCAAGCATGACCTGTTTGCTTCTTGTATTTTAAGGATATGTAGTTGTTGTATCCACACTTTTTCATGGAAATTCAGAAAAATAATATATACAGGATGAATTTGTCAAATTTAGTTCTGATTAGTTTATTGAAAAATAAAGCTTAATAAATCAAAGATGGTTGATCAAATAGGACGTGTTTGGATCAAAAACTGGAGATCATGCAATTTACATGTAAATTTAGGCGTGCATTGTTGGGTTTGTGAGTTCATGAGATTCCCAGAGGTGACGTAGAAGAAACTTAAAATATATGTGTTGGTTAAAATATGTAAGTGTTGGTGTATACGTGATGTTTGGCAGTTGAATAAGACCTGAACCCAGAAAATTTAACCTGGAAGTAGCTTTCAAAGTCCTGCTGATTTGTATAAACAACCGCGTCTGATAATTTAACTCTTTAAAACTGATTAAGAAGTCAAACTTGTTTTCTTTTAAATTTCGATAACACAGATCATTGAATGTTTCTCAACTTCGAATTCCATGAACGTATTTGTATTTGTATGTCTGTTTCCCTTCTTTTTTTTTTTTAAGCTTCATCTTGTATAATTTTTTAATTTTTTTTAATATATCTGACCTCACCTAGGATTGCATGCGTGATGGAACAGAACAAACAAGAGTTGTCTTCTAGTGACTCTAATAACACAGTTTTCCCATGTTGCTTTGTAGCAGAGCAATTTTAAGGAAAGCAATTTTGCTTGCAAGGCTTATCATGGCAATTCAAAGGGACTACGCAAGTCCTGCAAATGAGCTGTTATATATATTTTAGGTTACAAAACAAAAACCACACGTGTGCGTCACGTATATATATGCGTATTGGAAAACAATGATGGTGGCTGCACATTAACAAGTAATAGTCCTGCATTGCAAGGAGATTTCACTTTCATCATACAATTCAAAACAGAACACCTCCGGGCCTCCTAAAACTGTGATCAGTTGCTTCCAGATCAAAGCTTTTATGAATTAGTATTTTATAATGAAGGCACCAACATAGTCTTGGAGCATTATGTTATTTCTTCACTCCTTTAGCACGATTGTCATTACAATTTCCTACTCTGTAAAGAAAGCTCATTAAAATGAGCTGCCTCATTCTAGTAACAAAGAACACTCTAAGGGTTCCGAAACTGTACATTACTTTATAATACTGACTATTCTATACAGTGGAAAAATGCTGATTCTCAGCAAACCGCAGTGAGGAAACAGCAAAATCTCACAAACCCATAATATAGCACGAAGCTTTTAATTTTGCCACAGCTTACTTGCTAACTGCCTCAGAGTTGTCCTTGAGCTTATACACAGTATCAACATATTCTTCTACGTCCCAGAGGAAAGAACCAAAAGCAACAGCCTCCAAGACTAATCTCTTCATGCTCAAAAATGATGTGGATATTACCTCATTGGCATCCAGCATACCCACGTTTTGATCTCCAAAGAGGGCACAGCTATGCTTCTCAATCAAATTCAGAACTTCCTTACTTTTAGGTTTTGCACATATCTGCAATGCCTCTGAGTCAAATCCCATAATGTAACTCCTCAAGCTTTCACTCGGTTCCTGTTTACTTGAACCCTGAACCAATGGAAGAGACTGCACATTTCTGACGCAACCAAAGGCCAGAGTGTTCGGTCGAGGAGTCCATAAGTCTGGAAGTTGAATGGAGGTCCTATGAGTGAGATGGAAGTCTTGATGAGCCAAAGTTAGACATTGCTCAAGATTGTGCCTCAGTGATGCAGATTTCAGGAAGTAACCATATAAAATGGAGGCCACGTAAACTTGACCAAGCTGGAATTGGTGGATCTGAGTTCTTGCCCAATAATCTGCAACACTAGAATTTGCTCTCAAACCAATAACAGTACTTACATGCTCTCTTACCATTTCTAAAATCTCAATGCTGTGAATGGACTCGAGCTCAAAGTCCTTGGAAGGCCATATCTCTAGTCTCCCGTTATAAACGCACCTTGAGAGCCTAGGAACCAATGGGACTCTGATCTCAGAAAATTTGTAAAATATCAACATATATATGACATCTTCAACAGCAGCTTGGCAGTCACTCTCTTTCAGTTGGGCAATCCTTCTGGCATTCAGGAAAATCATCTTATTAGATCGTGAAAGAAGATTCGTTAATCAGCATGCATGAATTGAAAATTCAAATAACAAATATTTCAGTTCACCAGAAGGTAACTTCAATTTTTGTTTAACAACAGTTAAAATCTACTTTTTTTCTCCGTTCTTTTTGTGTGTGTTGAGAGAAGAGGAGGGGTTTGAAGTACCAAAGGTAATACTGCCAACTTTAGGATAGTGAAAGCACCCTGCAACTGTGTTACAGTAATCACACTTATTCTTGTTTTTGACACCAGCAAGAAGTAAAATTTGTGAACACCAAGGGTAGAACCCTATACATCCCACAGGGAAGACACACTTGGGAAGACGGCAGGGTCCTTTTTCTTCAATACAATATAAATGTGTTTTTTTTTTTTTTGGTTTTCCATACAATTTTTTGGAGGAAGATTTCCCATATGATTATCAAAATGTTGATGAGGAAAAGTAAGGAAATCAGTACTAGTTAAACTTACCCGTGCATGTTGAATAGAAAGGGGGAAACAAATGCACCATTAAAATCCACAAGCATATGGAACCTAACAAAAATCTTACTGAAGAATTGATTGTGGATCTTATAGTTTATAAATTCTTCACTATATATTTTCAGCAGCTTCTTAATAAGAAAACTATAAGACCGACTGGTTGACTGGATTTATCCGATCAATATATTCATTTAGAAACAACCAAACTAAACAAATGGATTCCAACAGAGAGATGACTTCTCCTGCGGGTTAAGGCTAACGCATCAAGCAATTGTTGGCTGTTTATATCATTGAAGAACTTGGGGGCTGCAAGACAAATATCTAAGTAAGCTTCTTCGTCAATCTAGTATAAATTTTCCCTGATAAATCTATCATCCTCCAGTTCAGAGGTTATCTGATTTTGGCAACTAACTTTACTATAGTCGCATCACTATGTACCTAATGGGCCAAAAATTGTCGACGTCTTTTCAGCGAAGAAACCATTCTGAACGAAAGAAGTCATTGAAATGGAGATTAAAGTGATACAGGATGGAAAATAAAGCATTTGCAATGAGAAAACAACCTGAAAGCCATCCATACAAATCACAAGATAAATATATCAACTAAAAATTACTAAAACAAAGCATATATATGCCAACTGAGAATCACAAGCGACACTTCATTGGGTATACTCCCTGCACCTTCAGTAACAAGAAATTCCGAGGCTTGAGCTACATAAGGAGGCTAATATTCTAGCATCAACCACACAGCAAGTAGACACTTCTAACAGCTAAAGGCAAAACAATAAATACAAAAGGCACCTTCATGAAGGTTCTCAACTACCCAATAAATAACCCAACGCTGAAAATAGTAGCAAGATGTGGGAGACTAAGTTTCAAGGTAAATCAAACTTTTAAAGTTCAAACAATTTACGTCTACACAATGAAAGATATCAAAAGAGCATATATGCATAATTATGTCTTGCAACCCTTCACAGATATTTCAAAATCCCTTTATAAGAGTAAAATGAACTAATTCTGACAAGTTATCATTGGAGGGCAATTTGTTGAGAAAGCTTCTGGGAACAGGCGGGGCCCAGTTCCTTTGACAAATATATCAATAGCAAATATAATTTGACTAATCTCACATACTGATTTAATTCGAAACATTCTTGGAAATTGACCTTTTCTATCAAAAATCAAACAGCAGAGTCATCAATCAAGCTGACCATCATGTTGCAAATAGGATAACTAATTGAATCCCACCAAGATGTTATCCTCAATCTTACTCGAGAAGCAATATGTATACATGATCAAGGAGCCTCAAAGAATCGTCTCCTAATTCTCCCAATTTTTTATTTTTCAGATTACCCAATGCAACAAGAAAACGAAAAACCATCCTGGCAAGAAATTGAAACGTACAGAAACGCCTCTAGGCTATGACAAAGACAAAAATTGAAAGCCCTTTGTCTTTCTCAGAAAGCTCCAAAGACGGCGAGAAAACCAATAGAACAACTGGGTTTGGAGATAAACCCACTTCTAGAAAACAAACTTAATCTTGATCAGGAAGGTTTCTTAAGAATTGAGCCAAAAAAATCAAAACATGGGTTGCTATAATACACAATGAATTAATTGCGATAACCCAATAAAAAAAAAAAGAAGGTAGAAGAAAGTAGTAGAAACCACGTGCAAATACATACAAACATATATACGTATGCTTGTGTGTATATACACTAGTGGTTATACATTAGACTAAAACGACAAACCTATGGAGGCACTCTTCATCGGAGCCAGTGCTGAGGAGCATACGATTAAGCGCGGCGTCGCGATCATCGGCCAGGTGTTTGAGCTCGTCCCCAGCGGCAAAACGAAAGAACTGACGCTGGTTCAACAGGACACTGATGAGGAAACGACCCGCCTCCGAGCGCGGTTCGAGCGGCGCGTTAAGACTACTACCGGACTCGCAGTGGCTGGCTCCAGCGGCTGCTACGACGTGATTTGATCTCCGCAATCTTAAGGTAGTATTATTAGTAGGAGGAGGAGGAGAAGAGGGGATGGTGGTCCGGTGAGCGAAGTTGGGTGAGTTATGGGGCGCGATGGAGCGGAAAGTGTGGGGCCGCTTGGCGATAAGGGTGCGTGGTAAAAAGGAGAGGGTGTTGGGGTGAGTGTGAGAGAGACTATATTCCATTAACAGTGTGTGAAAACCCTAAGAAAGGAATTAATGGTAATTGGTTGCAGTGGGTTATGGCGAGTGGAGAAGAAGGATCAGGAATCAGTTGACGGAAGATGCCATTCGGATAAGATCATGGGTGGGCTGAAAGGCTTTTGTCTTTTTGCGGTAAAAGATAAGATCTGGTAGCAGAGTCTGTGTATTTATAAGTACAAAGTAGTTGTATATGAATATAATACGTGAGTGAGCGGAAGAAATATATACGTACACAAGTTGGCAATTGGGAATTGGGTTGGAGATCATTGACTCGTATTCGGAAACAAGAGACTGCCAACGATTTCTCTTTTTTTAAATATAGAGTTGTGATAATACTAAGTTTTCAAATCCAATAATTTTTTAAAAAATAAAATAAAATAAAATAAAATTTCATAATTAAAAGAATAATATAATCAGTCAATTAATTAATTAAATGGAAAATATTTAGGTGATAATTAATAAAAAAAAGTATTTGGAACAACGAAAGTAGGTAGAAGACAAACTTTGTAGGATGAGAGGAGTTGAGAGGACTACAAATAAAGAAAGGTGATATATATATATATATATATATGTACATAAAGTGATAACAAGGACGAATAGCCCTGCAGACTTATCTTATATATATATATGTGAAAAGATAAGACCACTTATATTTTTCTCTTACTCTATAAAAAAGAATATTCGTGAATATAATATATCGGTTTTATTGCTAAACCGGCCGGCCAATGAAAATTATTGGAGGAGATAATTAAAAATTAATTATTTAAAATTAAAATTCCGTTTATTAAGGATGGGGTTCACCCATTATAAATAAAATAAAATTGCCAAACTTTGAAAAATGCTCAAAATGCGTGCTTTATTTGGTCCACTTAGATTTTTTTAAATATTTTTTGGAGCTTTGTATAGAAATTAAGTGAAAAAATTAAATGAGGGCAGATCTCAACCACATTGCAAAGATATTTGAAATAATGCCTAATAATTATAAAAGATTTATACATATATATATATAGAAACATACCGTGTGTATATTTAATTTATATGTGCCGTAAATTCTAGAACTCATAAAAGATATTAAAAATTGGAGTTACTATTTCGTGTACGATTTTTAATTTTTCTTTTTTAAAATCTTTTATGATGCATATATATAAAATTTTGAATGATCTTTTATGATACATATATATATGTATGTATATTGAACTTTGCATATTTATATGTACGGATGTATATACTAGAAATATGTATACATAGATATAACAAATAGAGAATAATATATATTATATTACGTTTCTCATTCACAATAGTAACATAAATTTATACACGTGGTGAACATTATAGTTATCTTGGCTATGTATTTTTGGAAGCTTAACTCTAATTACTAAGCTTTAAAATATAAAGAGTGTATTATCATATAAATAACATATAATATTTCATATTAATTTAAGTTTTTAAAATAATAAGTTATCACATTATTTAAAAAATTAATATATTTAGAAAATAAGAAGTTAATTTAGAGACGATAATTTTCAAAATTAAGGTATTAATTACAATAGTAATTGTTGTTGTAAGAACAAGTAATTAATTAACAAATCAATCGCAAATTGATTCTTCACTAGCTTTAACCAAATTTCTCAATCCTCGTATACCACTAAATTTGAATCTTAAGCCACCAACTTATAACCATTTTATCTCACGTTATTCTTTAATCTTCCTAAAAAATCATCGCTTTAAATGGTTAACATTCTAATTTGATGAAAAATGGAAGAATATTTTTGTAAATTTGAAAAAATTATTATGAATTCGATAAGAGTATTTTAGTAACATAATCTAAATAAAAAAATTTGTTTAAAGACTTCTAGCACCAAAATCAAATCAACCCTATATATATAAATACCCCTTAATGAAAATTTAAAATTAGATAAAAAAAAATATGTACATATTCGTAAAAAAAAATAAATAAAACGAGACTATTTTTTTAGTCAAGACTTAAAAATGAGTGGTCGTCTTTTCTTTACCAAAAAAAAAAAACCCACAATTTGAAGTTATTTCCTTAATTAGACCAATGTTTAGAAGTTATATAATGCTAAGATTGTTGGACCTTGGCTTAGTCAATCAATCAGTCCTTGATCAACACAAGATCAAAAAGGAGAGAGAGAGAAGACAACCCACGAAGAAAGGAAGAGAAGTGACGTCAATAGTCATAAATGGCTCTCTCATCAACAAGAAAGACATGGATCTTGTGTTTGGTTTTGATGAGCATGGTGGTGCTCATGGCTGATCATGCGGAGGCTTCAAAGAAAATTCAACCGTGGGTGGTCGATCCCTGCCAGAAGCCAGGATCACCTTCGCCACCCAATTGTTCCAACAACAAAGCTGGACACCATGGTCCTCCGACCCCTTGGCGTCGCATTTGCAAAAAATTCTCTATCTGTCGTGGAATTAATTAGTTGCCAATTTATGCATCATCGTTCATCCTTTCTTGAAAACTTTTTCCTCCTCCATTTATGTAATAATCTTTTGGAAATTTTATTTATATATATATATATATATAAACTCGGTAACCTAGTTCGTTTCCCTAATGAATCTTGTATTGAGCAAATAGAAGATTTATGGGAATTACAAAATGGCTTTATTCACCCTTTTGGGTCCATTGATTCTCAAGTATTTGTGTTAATTATCTCATAATTTTTGGTCTTTGCGGCTCGAATCAACTGGAACATCGACATTAATATTATTTACTTCAACTAAAGTTGACAGAGTAAGTTAACACAATGACCAGATCTAATAAGTACGTGCATCTACGTTTCTGAATCCTCCTTTCTTCTTCTTCTCTTCTGAATGCTTTCTCCTTCTCATTCTCTCTCCCTTGTTCTTCTATTCATATATACATATATTTCTTATGTTAACTATTCTACGATGCATGAATACTTATGTCACTGGTTCCATCAATTTTATCTTTTGCTTTCTAACTTTTTGCTTTACTTTCTACTTTGAAGATTTTAACAAGTTTATTTTTTCTTTGCTCCTTTTATTTTTATCTAGTTACTTAAAAACTTTGTTATGTATGAATATATGTATATTTGAAATATATAAAAGATCATTTGACTATCAAAAAACATATAATTTATTTTTTATTTTCAATTAAATATATTAAAACTAACTGTAAATGTAAAATTCTGCATCTAAAGATAAAATACACAAGAACTGCTTCTAACACCAAATAAAAACAGTGAATTTCATCAAACACTCATTAATCAGTACATGATCAGTATTTATATATATATCACCAAAGTTAATGATGGAGTAAACTTAACTAATTAGTAGCTAACTAATTGATTAACAGAAAAGAAATTAATAATTTAATTAATTAACCAATTAACTAATATTCCCTCTCCAGATGAAGCAAATATGCTTTTGATTTCCATCTTGGATAGTAAAGGAAGTTTATCATGAGAAAATAAAGCTTTGGTGAAGATATTCACAAGTTGATGCTAAAACCAAATAGGAAGAAGCTTGATGTGCTATGTTAAAATTTGATTTTTGAAAAAGTTACGATCGATTTTAATATGTTTAATTTGTTCCTGAAACACTAGATTGGAAGCTACATAAATGGTGGCTTGACTGTTAAAAAAAATTAATGCAAATTATAAATATATAATATATAGAGCAATTCACTAGTTGTTAAATTTAGGTTTACAGAAAATTAAAAACTGTGAATTGTTCTTTGGCTTTTTAAGATATCATAAAATCTCTTATAAATATATAATATCTAAAAATAGAATTTTTAAAGTAGGATATAATGTCCAATCAATATCAAAAAAGACCTTCAACTGCAAGGAACTTTATGAAGACAAAAAAAAAATATCTTGTATAACGCCCGGAAAATATAAAAAAAAAAAAAAAATTGATTATATTATTTTAAATATTTTAAATAGGTTTTAAAAAAAATGTCACGTCAGCAGCCACGTCAGCAGATCCAGTCAGCAGTCCTGGCCAACCAGGACCTGCCACGTGGCAAAACCACGTTGACCGGGGACAGGCCACGTTGGCGATCCGCGTACGCGCGATCGGACGGCACAGATCAAGCGTGCGTACGGACGGCTCAGATGCAATCGCACGGACGACCCAGATTCAATAAAAAACGGACAGCCCAAATTAAAACAAAATGGACGGCTGAGATCAAAAGGCAAAAGGGTATAAATAGAACCCCCAAACCTGACCACAAAAACCCTAGCCGCCTGCCCTCGCCGGAGAAGACGCACCAGACGCTGAAGACGCCGGCCGCCGCCACCTGCCGCCGCACCGGAGAGATTTTCGACCGCCGATTGAGGTAAATTTCATACCCCCGACTCGTTTTTCCACGCTGATTTCCCCTGTGGCCAAATCGGAGCCAAAATCCCGACCAAACGGCCGGAAAACACGACCGAAACCTAGCGGCGCCGCCGCGCCCCTCCTCGATTTTTGCCTCCGATGAGGCCCTTCCCAGCCTCCGTTTGATGCAATTTTTATATCACCGTGATCACCATTCTTTTCTCTACAGGTTGATCGGAGCCGAATCACCAAAACACGAACCTCACCGGAGAGCCGCCGCACCCGAGAGCACCGCCGCCGGTAAGCTTCGGTTTTCCGTAATTTTTTGGCCCCCCGAGGGCCCTAGGGTTATTTTATCGCAAGGATCGATGCAAGTGTGGCCGAATTCGGCCGAAAACGGCCAAACCGAGGCGGATCGCCGCCGCAAGCTGCGGCGCCGTCGCCGGAGCACGACAAAGCCGCCGTGCCGGAATTGCGATATTGGCCAAAAAGGGGCCCTGGGCCTAATTTGGGATTTTTTGGAACACATGCAGGTACCAGTAGTGCGTTTCAGTTCCCCGGAAAAAATTCAGGAAAAATTAGGGACAGCCTGTAGGCGCACTGTGAAGCCATGTTCGGACCCCGAAATGAGTAAGGACCCCTCACCCTATTTCCTATCACGGTATTAAAGTTCAATAATGATAAAACGGTATTTCTTGAATCAACGAATGTATGAAATTGCTTAAGGTCGCTAATGAAGCCCGAGTCTAGTGTGTTTGTCGGTTAACTGTTATTTGGCCTATTTTACAGTTTTAAATGCAGTATGA